TTTTAATTTGTTAATAACTTAAATTTTTAAAAATTTGTAATGTTTAAAAAATACCTGTCATTTCAACTTTAATTCCCCATTTAACCATGTAAAAGTTGCCACCATCAAAATCCCCTTCACTGTAAGCAAATTCTTTATCATTAACAAGTTGTATTCCTCTCAGGCAAGTAGCTGCAATTGCATGGTCCAAAAAATTAGGGTTGGTGTGGGCAAATTTGCTGTATCTCCAGGCTACATATGTCTCACATAGACCTAAAGGATGATTTAAATATATTTTTTTATTACCGAAAGAAACTGTAATTCCTTTGTCAGATATTATATAAGTGGCAGTATACTGAATAATTTTTTTTCGACTGGTGATAGAATTGTAAAATATTTTTATTGCCTTTTTTAAATTATCAAAAATATAATAATATTGAATTAAGATTTATTTTTTATGAAAGATTATTTTATTAACTTTTAATATCTTAATAATAATACTATCTATAATAGTATGTATTTCTAATACTGCAACTAAAAATATGTTTTTAAAGGGGAAGACAGAGACAAAAATAAAATATTTCTTACTAGAAAACATTGAAATTTTAGAATTAATAACTATAAAAAAACTATCCACAATTGTTCTTTATTATCTAAATCATTGATTTATAGCATTTCTTGACTTTTGTTCCTATTAAAATAAAGAGCCATGAATTTTGTCTTTCAAAAAGAGACATAGGTGATCTATGAAATTTTATATTTAAATACTTTAAAGACCCATTATTAACTATAACTATTTCCTATTAAATTCTATTACTTTTTATGATAACAATTATTAGAAAACTCATGGTTTTGAGTATACTATATATTATGTTTTTTGAGAGTTTAATTAAAATATTAATTATATTTTTTCTCTTTTATTCATTATTTGTAAATTCTTTTTACTAATACTTTAACTATACACAAAAATGATGTTTACAAAAAATTTTATACTTTCTTGCTAATAAAGTCTTTATATTTTTATTAAAACAATTTAAAACTTGTCTTCATTTATCTCTACTATCCTCTTTTACTTGTTTATAAACTCCTTTGAATAAAAACTTGAACCTTTAGTAATCTAAATAGACTCAAATACGTACTTCCTCTACTAAGGGCAAAAAAATTCTAAAAATCAAAAAAATTAATAAGTGAAATATCACTTTACAGAGCTAGAAGCAACAAGAAATAGTGATTTTGTTAATCACTAAAGACTTATTATTTACCTTCTCACATACTATATTATATTTTCTTAAAATATCTACTGTTTTTTTGTAGTTTTTTTGAAAGATTTTACTTACTTCAGTTTGATCCTAAATTCTAATAGTACAATGTTACCTGACATTTGATTGACTAATATAAAATACATTAGTAACAGAATATAAACAAACTTTTATTAATGATATTCATATATTCTGATAACATTATTGATGATTGAAAAAGTTGATTGATACCTCAGTTCTATCTACTCCTTTAATTGGATTAATTTATAGATCAAGTTTCATGAGATTAATAAAATACAAGCAACAAGTTTCTAGATAATAAAAAAGCTGTTATTTGTTCAAGCTAAGTCTTTCTCTTCTATTATTCGAATCAGGCAAAGTTCAAGATCAAGATCTTCTTTTTATCCTAATCAGGTAATAAAACAAAATGGTCTTTAGTTTATACTAAGCTTCAACCCTTTGATTATAGCTGAGAATGCATTTCCCTAGAAGTTGTTAAAGAATATCATAATTGATAAGGATTTCTATTCCTGTTTGAAATCCTCCTATTATTACAAGGCAAAAAAAATGTTGGGAAATCTAACCTTTTGAATAATGAAGGATATACATCAGTAAAATTTCTTTAACTAGGTATAGATACTGGAAGATATCATACTGAAACAATACAACCCAGTTTTTGTTAGATCACATAAGAACCTGTGATTTATTATAAGTCATTTCTCTATAACAAGTGAATAAAAAATCACTATCTAAAGAAGTTGAAATCAAGTGTGTCCTGGAAGTAAAGACTCTTACTAGATAATAAGTCTCCTTAGATAGTACACAAAAAGAAAATCAAAATTAAGAATAAATAAGTCTCTTAAATAGTTAGAAAAAGAAATAATATTCTAATTGAACATTTTTTATTGAAAAGAGGTCTTAAGAAGTGAATTGTTAAAGAAAGCTAGAAATCTTTTTTTCAATCTTTACTTTTTCTTTTTCTTGTTATCTGCTTAAATATTTTTAAATATTACTCTTCTCTTTTTTTCAACCTATTCTTTTGTAGTTTTCTATATTTTAGCATCTTGATTAGATATATGGCAGTAATAATCTACTGGCGATGGTACAGTGGATTAGAAGAATTTTTATTTAAAGACATTATAAAGCAAAATATTGTCTTCCAGACTGAACTTAAAAACTTTTATGCTTTTTTTTTTTTTTTTTTTTTTTTTTTTTTTTTTTTTTTAACCTGCA